GTTTCTCACACTTTGGTCACTGACTAAAACCCCAACGCAGGGTTACTGAACAAAGATCTGAGATTCAGCAGTCCAAATGCAGCAATACTGTGATTGTTTCAGATCAATAATACACATTATATGATCTGTTACATCCCAGCAAACACAGAACACTCTCCTAACGTAAGAATTAATATTCAAGGAATGTTCTTTTTAGGTTTTGTATTTAAACAACCAAAAACTAACATTCTCGGAACGTTCTGGGAAGCAAAGCTGGACTGAGAGCGTATCTATATGATAAAAAAAAAACAGCTAAACTAGTATTTTTAGTCAGGCATCTACTTCCATTTATTTGATCAACTAAGCTTTTGCAGAATCATGAACGATGACCTTCAATGAGAGCTGATAAAGCCAGTTCTTTGGATGTTTTGGAGGAGTCCAATCATTACCATTCCTGTCCTCCTTCTGTTTCTGTTGAGAGATTATGGCCTTTTCTGATTCATTGGAGCCCAAAAAGCAGCGTACATGGCCGTTCACATCAACATCTTTGGTTTAGGGCCTCTAAAGGAATTCCCTTTGATTGAGGCTTAAAGTGCTTGTTTTATCTTTGATGGTTTGTGGAGTTTCATCCAAAGCAGAGTTGACTGTAATCAAGCCGATGCTAATTGTAATGACTCAATTATTTGGAAACGACTTTTCACATGTTTTATTAGCTACTCATAATGCAAGCGTCACTATTATTATTAATTCTCATACTTGAACAAACCCCAAACCATAAGTATTTAACTTCGGCACCTAACTCATCCTGCAACGTGCTACAAACATAAATAGAACCTCAAAATGACTTTTCCAAGCGATCAAACAATATATAAGTTGGAAACATCTCATAGATTTACAGGGAAACTCAAACCATATCTAAAGACCAGTATGTCATAGAGACCTGGGAGAAACCATCAAGAAACCACCCAGAACAACCATTATGTACCGTTGAGATGAAATGGAGGTACAACTTCTTCTTCTGGTTGCTGATCATTTTCTAAATGTTCCTCATCTGCTGCATCACCTTGCACCAGTTTCTGGCCTCGTCCTGTCGAATGAAAATGTCTAATTACAGAATATTTGTGTAGAGCAGGGTTATTATTATCAACTAAAACTATTCAAATGCAAAAAATAATTTTAGTAGGTTCGAGCTAATTAACTGGGAGAGAGCAGTGAGTGCTTTGCTTGGAAAACTAAAACTATTAAAAAGATTTTTGTTGATTTCTGTTAATAAATTATAAAAAATAAATTAAAAAATAATAATAAAAATGACAAAAACACATAAAATTACTAAATATTAAACTAAAATATTTCAATCAGAATTTTAATAGTATATAAATAACACTGCATGGTGCATTCACAAATGAGTTTGAGTAAAGTAAATCTTACCCCAGAAGTGAGAGGGTCCTGACAGTGGAGGTTCGACCCCAGGAATCCCAGCATACCCCACTGCTTCCTCCCACAGCTGATGGGGCAGTGGTGGGGGCACATCCAGTTCCTCTAGAGCTTCGGCCTCCACTTGGGGTGGCTCATTGAGCGGTGCCACCGGCTCTTCCTGTGGCTCCACCTCCGGCTGTCCTACAACAGCCAATACGGACACTGGACTGGGCGGGTCCTGAGGCGTCTCAGGTGGCGTGGTCTGTATGCAAAGTGCAGCGTTGGGGGTCAGTCCCAGAGACCGGAGGGAGCAGGTTAGCTCAGTTTCACCGAAGCGCTTGCGAGGGAACCCTTGCAGGAGGGAGAAGGCGGGTAGTGATGGGTGGCGACCGGTAATGAACTCGACGACGTGACTTAAGAGAGTGTCTGCAGGGAAACGCTCACGCATTGATTCCCCAGAAGGGAGACGGATCTATAACACAAAACAAGTACAAACATTTCAGACAAATTAAAAATAAATAAATCATACTAAATACTAAATTGTTAGAAAGCAGAGGGAAAACACAAGTAATCTCGCACCATGAGGATGCAGTGGTTGTCCACGCTCGTCTCCACACGTCCACCCAGTCTCTGTCCCTGTCCACTGGATGGAGAGGTCTCAGCTGTGGCTTCAGTTTGTGCCTTTTCCTGCTGACTGCGCCGGTCCTCTGCTATCCTCTTCAATACCAACTCACGCTCCTGAACAGGACAAACTGTTACTGCACTGGGAACCAAAAATGACCTTCCTATGGTGACCTCTTTATGGTATTATATCTATATTTGATATATTAAAACATATATATAATTATTTATATACATTTTTGGGTGAACTAACCCTTGTTTATGGAGCTTTATTGTAAAAATATGAAACCTTTCACTGATTCACCTGCTTCTTTTGTCTCTTCTCTAGCTGTGCCTCTTGAGCCACTCGTTGCCTCTGCTGCTCGTGGAAATTACTCTTATCCTGCTTGATCCGTGTTTCCAGGGGTGGATGCTCTTTTGCTCCGGGACTGTTTGCGGAAGGAGGTGCCAAGACTAAAGAAGGACCTAAAAGCAGAAAAAAAGCTGTTAATGCATTCCTCTGCATTGCATAACATATCAGAAACCTGCATTAACGTCTGCTAATGATCTGCAGTGCACTATGCACAAAATCACATGACCTGTGAGTCACAGATTATTTACACAGTAAATCAAATTTTCCTTCCCAGCAGAATGTTAACCCTCTTGTGAAAGAAGTCTGTTTGTCATATAAATGAGTAAATGAACAAACTGCTGTTTTTTTACCTGTTGCTTCAGACTGTGAGTTGTTGTTGTTGTAGCAAAGAGCATCTTTGGGAGCGTTGAACGCAGAAAACGCTGTTTCTAGAGGACCTGAAGGCTGCTTGACTAGTTTATGCCGTGGACTCCCACCTTGCAAAAGCCTTCAGAGCAAATGTGAGAATAAATGAGAGGGCTGGAGAAGCTTTTGCTTAATAACCAAACACAATGCTGTCTAATAACACTTTGAATATTCCTTAAAGCCACTGAATTTAACCAGACAGGTGAGTATTCAACCTATGACTACTATTACATATTAAAAGAAAGCTATTATATAACTAACACATTATTTTCTTGGGATACAATAACCAATTAAACCTATTTCACTATTCAGGAATATAAAATAACATCCTGAAAAACATTTACCATTCAGCCGCTTCTGGTACAGAGAAGAATCCTGCCTGCATCGCTGCCTGTATCTGGTCCTCACTGAAGCCCATCTCAGTGAGAGTGCTGATGAACCCCCCTATGGTCTAGATAACAAGAAAACATTATGAACTCCATTGCAAAGGTATTATTTATTAAGGTATAACTTCATATTCTCATAGCATTTATCATGCACACGGTACTAATGCTGTCACCACAGATATCACAGTGGACTTTCCCTCTTATAGTTTGATATCATGACACAGTTTGAGGCAACGTAAAATGCTATTTTTATACGATTGATTTATTAAGCTGTATTCTGAAAGCAAGAAGCTTTCTTCATAACTAAATATTATTACACTACGCAACGCTTAACAGAATAGTTATTGTGCATTCAAATAGTCGATTGTGTGTGTCGACTTAGTTTTAGCTAGGCCTACTTGAAGAACACTTAAAAATGAGAAGTGTTTATATTATTTGATTACATTTGTCATTAATCTAGCAGTATATATTTGAGAAGGCCATGCACAATGCCCGATATTGTTTTCAATAAAGGTCTCAAGAGGCTTTCCTCGCAGACCTAGGCCTACTTTTCATTTCCTTGTAATCTTATAGAGTTACAGTAACAATGACTGCATGACTGAAAGCTTAACGAGACTATAATAAAAGGTTGTACTTGATGCTGTTCTATTGAAACTAATGTACTTATCACAGTTTATCATGTTTTATACATGTCGGACAAGCTAATATACCAATGCAATAAGCTTTGCAAAAACATTGCCGATTCTCATTAACCATAGTTTCTGCTTACCGATGTGTCCATAATTGTATTCAATATGCTCAAAAATACTCGATATTGCGGTTTGTTGTCACTTTGCAGACGGTGTTTACTGATTGTCCGCACAGTAGAATGGTGACCGCTTACGTCACGGGGTTTTTTCCGTCCTGACTGTACGCTCGACGCTGATTGGATGACTGACATTCGGAAACGCCTCTTAAGGACCGCCCCCACTGTTAGTTGAACCTGTCAATCACAGCTCGTCTGAATGTGTTAAAGGAGCAGGCGCGTCTTTACCCAGAGTGGAGTTCACAAACATTTACCATTCACACGCTCAGTTAACGAAACACAGTTATCTTTTGTCTACTAAAGCAACTAATTTCCATTTTGTTACGAGGTTTATTTTATTTCTGACATGCAATAAGTATTAGTGTCCGGCAGATGTCATATTTGGTCAACAAGGCCATGTTGGGAACAAAATGATACAATTCTAAAATGATAAGTAAATAACAATATAACATAATATAATATAAAAAGTCATTTTATTTAATTTTTGAACAGATGGTCAGTCAAAGGATCGATGTGCTTTAAATTTAGAAAATGTTAACTGTCAAACTTGAGCCAGGGCCATTTTATTGTTCCATTCATTTCTATTGGGTTTGCAACAATTGTACTAAAATGTGGGTTACGCCAAAATACAATTTTGTATGATTCTGCACCAACATTTTATGTTGGTTTTAAGTTTTTGAAACACATTAATATTAAATTCCCATAAATTGAAGAAAAATGGTTGTTTGTTCAATTTATTTTACAATAGCTTGGGACATGCATTTATTTCACATGCAGTAATATTTAAGCATCATCCGTCTTATTAATTTTTGTCATTATCAATTTAGTAATTTACCAGATATAAGGTTGGTTGCATGAGTAAAAGGTAGGCTTTAGGAATTTCAAATAAATTGTGTATCTATCATTTGACGTGTGCAGGCATGCATAAAATATAAATAAAAGCCTGTTGGAGGTGTTTGGTTTTTTTTTTTTGTGAAAAGGGAAGGAGATCCCCAGTCGAAATATGTAACCTACGGCACGCAGGCGCGCGCGCGCATCAGATGAGATGTGGTTCATCCGTGAACGCTAAGGGGAGATCGGTTGAGGTAAGACACAATTCAGACATGTTTAGTGTTTTATACACTTATATATGAGCAGACTGTGAGTAACATTAGGGATTCCGCTCACATTTCCCACGTTTAAAGTGTCCGGGCGCATGAAAAGTGAGTTTCTGACCTGTTCGCGTGCATGCGAGTCGGTGCGGGTGAACAGTTAGCTTGCGCTAGCTCTCAATTGAAATAACTTTAAACCGGGAAATCTTAAATGAACATGGGCTGAGAAAACGGTGTCCTGTAATGACCAAACCGTCTGCTTCCGTATCGTGTGCTCGTTTCTGTGAGTCGTGGTCGCTGGACTGCTGTCAAACGCGAGTGAACAGACATACGCATGAAAACCGAAAACCCACACTGCCACGTGATATTCACGGGGAAAATATTCAGTTATTGAAACACCGCTGAAAAGGAAACTAGGGAAGTCGTCCAGTGACTTTACATTTAAATATAGTAGTTGAGTACAGACACAGTTTATATATAGTCTGGAAATGTATATTTATATCTAGCTATATTTCGCTGTAAAACAAAACAAGTTTGACTCTATCTATCTATCTATCTATCTATCTATCTATCTATCTATCTATCTATCTATCTATCTATCTATCTATCTATCTATCTATCTATCTATCTATCTATCTATCTGTCTGTCTGTCTGTCTGTCTGTCTGTCTGTCTGTCTGTCTGTCTGTCTGTCTGTCTGTCTGTCTGTCTGTCTGTCTAATCTATCTGTCTAGCTATCCATATCTCTCTGTCTCTATGAAATAATCTCATATTTTCAAAATATATAAAAAATATGACAAAGTTGAACCATAGACAGACAGATGGTTCAACTTTGTCATATTTTTTTTATATACAATACAGTATTATATTAGATATAGGCTACTGTTTTGATATGTGTTATATTCTGTTTTGACACTCGTATAAAATAAATTCATGAACAAATTAATTTAGGCAATAGGTAGAAAATTTGTAGTCAGAAGAATGGCACAATCATTTGTTTATAAACCTTGAAGCTTTAAGCTGCTGTGGTTGGTTTGTGCTTGTTACCGTGGGTCAGCTGGATTTATCTCAGATCAGTGTTGTAAAGCCATCAAGGAGTCAGATTTCTTAGAGGAACAAAGCAATGACTTGGTCGAACCAGTATTTGCAAGCTTTAAATGTGCAACTTTGCCTTTGTTTTTGCAGTGTGATTAAGGCATAATAATGCCAGATGCCAGTAAATCGGTGCAGATTACAGCAGCGTAGAGCGAAGAAAGAAATATCTTTATATAGGGGTGGCCCAAATTTTAATTCATGATATCGTGAAAATCTCCAACGATAGACATTTTACATCGTGGTGGAAACGACATTGTCCTACCGCCAAGCCCTATCTTTGTACTACTTTCTTTATCTGTGCTTACCAGACAATATTTCAAAATCCGTAGTGCAGTAAGGATGGAATGTCATCTGTACATTTTGAACCGCTTATTTGTTTGTTTGTTCATTTTCTTTTCTTTAAACAGGTAAACATTATGAGAGGAAGATGCAATTGTTTCTTTATTATTCTTTCTTTATTTTCATCTGAAATGCTGGTTGGTTTTACAAACTCTAGACTAGAAAAATACTAGTAATGATAAAATGAAATGAGCTTTATTCCTGCTAGCATTCCAGAGCAGATCAGCTGTAAACTAGTTTCTTTAGCCCTTCTGGATTACGTTTGAAAAAACACACTTCGTAGGCTGCTATTTCTCTGCAGGGTCAAGTTCTGCATTGCGTTTTTGTAATTGTGTGCCCAGCTGGCGACGCTAATCACCTGAAAAATATTTTTAAGACCGTTGTTCTCACGTATACCAAATCTGACATGGCTCTTTTGCGAATAGGCCCTCCTCAGGTAGCGTGACCTAACACTTGACCAGGAACTCCTATATGGTTTTTACAATACTGTGTTTCCCAGGATATGTGTTATTGTACTCACATTGTCGTGAGCTGGTTCGATATTTCATTGTGATTGTTGGTTTTGGTGTGACTGAAGGTATGAATGACAGTGTTCTTCTGGTCAGAACTTGCTTTGTTGGGTTTGTTCAGTGCTGTCATATTACAAAGATGTGATTGTTTGCTCCAAGTTAAACACAAAGAGTGTGAGAAACTCAGACGGAGCTTTTGTGTGTTGGTAACCCAAGTCTGTGAAACCCCTGCTGATGGTCTGCAGAGAAAACACCTTTACCATTTAAACAGTTGTCCCAGGGCTGTTTAGTCTTGAAGTGATAATTAAATGAGCTTAGCGCACTGCTGTTTGAATTTCACCTGTGCTCCTGTAGTTTCTGTCTTGCACATCAGGAATCATTCGTAAACACTTTTTTTTTTTGTAGCGCAGCACTTCCATCTGTTTTATGAAGCTGTAAAATCTTGTAGGGCTGAAAGTAAGGTCACACTTTAGTTTAGGGTCCAATTCTCACTATTAACTAACTATTTACTATGACTTTTGCTTCAATAAACTCTTTTATTTTACTTCAATAAAATAAGGTAGTTGTTAAGTTTAGGTATTGGGTAGGATTAAGTGATGTGGTCATACAGAATAAGGCATTAATATGGGCTTTAATAAACAGCCAATATCCTAGTAAAATGCATGGTAATAAGGAACTACTTAATAGTGAGAATTGGACCCTAAACTAAAGTGTTACCCAAAGTAATAATCGATTATTAACTCTTTAACTCTTGTTATATGAATATATGAATATCTGAACATATGATATATCAGAATAAAGAACAGAGCCTCTACTTTAAAAAAAATTTGAGCTTCATGCAGTCTTTTTTTTTCAATACTTGAATGTAGGTAAGTGTCATTAAAAAAAAAAAGCAACAATGATCATTTTTGATCATTTTCACAAAATTTTCATGGCCCCCAAAATATTTTGTTATATGATTATCTGAACATACGATATGATAAATCAAAATAAAGAACAGTCTTTTTTTTAAACTTGAATGTAGGTAAGTTTTATTTAAAAAAACAACAAAAAAACAACAGAGACTGTGTGTGGATCGGATTCAGAACGATAATCGAAACACAGATGGAGTAGATTGCGTCCCATCCATCAAAGCTTCACAGTCCTATAGCTCGTCATGGGTCGACATTTCAGACAGAGATGGTCTTATTGTTGGGAGATACGAGGATCCGTGGCTCATTGGGAAAAGCGTAATGGCTAACTTGGATCACATGTGCATTGATAACTAGATCATTTAATCTTGTTGAGTTGTGTGACAGTCAATCACTGTTTGCAGATGCCATAGAAATGAATGAGAAGTGCTGTAAACTTTCATATCTGTCACCCAATTGTCTGTGACTTCTATTTTTAAAAATTCTGTTTTATAAGAGATCAATCCAAAATGAATATTTAAGAGCAAACATGTTAGCTGATGTGCTGTCAATTCATTGAGTAAACTTTCCTCACAAAAGCAGTTTATTCAGTGTAGTGATAAGTCTCTCCTCCATTGACATCCATTAAAAAAACGGCATCTTGTCTCTTTTCCTGCGTACTGCAGCATTAGCGGGCGTTACGCTTTTTTCGGCTCAGGTTGCAGGCTTTCCTTCAAGTGGCTTTGGTTTAGATTTAGGGTGTGTTCACACTTGTAGGTCGGTTCGCTTGGTTTGTTTGGTCCGGAACAAAAAAAAGTCCGCTTAGCCTTCACAGTGGAATTTTAACACCGAACCTAAAGGCATAGGGATATGTTCACAACCTGATTGGTCGGCTTTTATTACGTACACTGTTAAAAATTACCTGTAAATTTTACAGTAAAATACTGGCAGCAGGGTTGCCAGCCAGTTACTGTATTTTTTACAGTAGCGTTTCTGTAATTTCATTTACAGAATTTTACTGTATTCTCTGATTACATTAAATAACAGTATTTTTAAATTGTTGTATTTTTTTACAGTAAGTTACATGAATCTTTGTATTTGCTATATCTAGAGGAAGTATGTAAAAGGCAGTATTTACAATATACACTCACCGGCCACTTTATTAGGTACCCCATGCTAGTAACGGGTTGGGCCCCCTTTTGCCTTCAGAACTGCCTCAATTCTTCGTGGCATAGATTCAACAAGGTGCTGGAAGCATTCCTCAGGGAGTTTGGTCCATATTGACATGATGGCATCACACAGTTGCCGCAGATTTGTCGGCTGCACATCCATGATGCGAATCTCCCGTTCCACCACATCCCAAAGATGCTCTATTGGGTTGAGATCTGGTGACTGTGGAGGCCATTTTAGTACAGTGAACTCATTGTCATGTTCAAGAAACCAATTTGAAATGATTAGAGCTTTGTGACATGGTGGAAGTAGCCATCAGAGGATGGGTACATGGTGGCCATAAAGGGATGGACATGGTCAGAAACAATGCTCAGGTAGGCCGTGGCATTTAAACGATGCCCAATTGGCACTAAGGGGCCTAAAGTGTGCCAGGAAAACATCCCCCACACCATTACACCACCACCACCAGCCTGCACAGTGGTAACAAGGCATGATGGTTCCATGTTCTCATTCTGTTTACGCCAAATTCTGACTTAACATCTGAATGTCTCAACAGAAATCGAGACTCATCAGACCAGGCAACATTTTTCCAGTCTTCAACTGTTCAATTTTGGTGAGCTCTTGCAAATTGTAGCCTCTTTTTCCTATTTGTAGTGGAGATGAGTGGTACCCGGTGGAGTCTTCTGCTGTTGTAGCCCATCCGCCTCAAGGTTGTGCGTGTTGTGGCTTCACAAATGCTTTGCTGCATACCTCGGTTGTAACGAGTGGTTATTTCAGTCACTGTTGCCCTTCTATCAGCTCGAACCAGTCTGGCCATTCTCCTCTGACCTCTGGCATCAACAAGGCATTTCCGCCCACAGAACTGCCGCTCACTGGATGTTTTTTCTTTTTCGGACCATTCTCTGTAAACCCTAGAGATGGTTGTGCGTGAAAATCCCAGTAGATTAGCAGTTTCTGAAATACTCAGACCAGCCCTTCTGGCACCAACAATC